CTTCGGACTAGGCTTCCTAGTGAAACGAGGAGTAACGGTAGTTCGTACTAGGAAGCCTAGTCCGAACTACCTAGTCCGTGCACGTGTAGCCGCGCGGCACGGAGTCCGCACTAGCGGACATTTAAAAATGGCGGCGCCCGGCTTTATGCAAATGAAGCCCGGGAAATTCAAATCCTGGGCTTCATTTGCAACTCCGGTTGCCTACATTACCACCCTAGTTTGAACTAGGGTGGTAGTGTAGACATACCCTAATAGATTACTAAGACATGGTTTCCCTTTACAGAAACCATGTTGACTTTTGCCCAACAAATTATGTTCTTCTATGTGTCTGACAATTTTATTCTTTATTATTGTTTCAGCTAATTTGTCCGGTACTGATGTTAGACTTACTAGTCTGTAATTGCCGCGATCGCCTCTAGAGCCCTTTTTAAATATTGGCGTTACATTAGCTATCTTTCAGTCATTGGGTACAGAAACTGATTTAAAGGATAGGTTACAAACCATAGTTAATAGTTCCGCAATTTCACATTTGAGTTCTTTCAGAACTCTTGGGTGAATGCCATCTGGTCCCAGTGACTTGTTACTATTAAGTTTATCAATTAATTCCCAAACCTCCTCTAATCACACTTCAATCTGTGACAAGTCCTCAGATCTGTCACCCACAAAGGATGGGTCAGGTTTGGGAATCTCCCTAACATCCTCAACCGTGAAGACTGAATCAAAGAATTCATTCAGTTTTTCCTCAATGAATTTATCATCTTTAAGCGCTTCTTTTGTATCTCGATCGTCCACGGGCCCCACTTGTTGTTTAACAGGCTTCCTGCCTCTGATGTACTTAAAAACATTTTATTATCTTTCGAGTTTTTGGCTAGCTGTTCTTCAGACTCCTTTTTGGCTTTTCTTATTACATTTTTACACTTAACTTGGCAGTGTTTATGCTCCTTTCTCTTTACCTCACTAGGATTTGACTTCCACTTTTTAAAAGATGTCTTTTAATCTCTCACTGCTTCTTTTACGTGGTCGTTAAGCCACGGTGGCTCTTGTTTAGTTCTTCTACTATGTTTTTTAATTTGGGGTATACTTTTAAGTTGGGCCTCTATTATGGTGTCTTTGAAAAGTGTCCATGCAGCTTGCAGGGATTTTACTTTAGTCACTGTACCTTTTAACTTCTGTTTATCTAACTACCTTATTTTTGCATAGTTCCCCTTTTTAAAATTAAATGCCACAGTGTTGGGCTGCTGAGGTGTTCTTACCATGTTAACATACATGGTTTATCTACTGAACTTAAAAAGTACTGCAGTGAAGAAGAACACTTCAGTACAAGTGTGTGGATAGGTCTGGTGTGGTTCTAGGAGCCTGAAGGCTCTCTCTTTCAGACTTAAATTGACATCACCAGTTTAGTGGCAACCCAAAGTGGAGGTGAGGTTTAAGCAAGGGTATGAACTAGGGATGTAAAATCTTGTTTAACATTAAGTTTAACTGCTTAACTGATTAAATGGGAGCAGGCCGAGTCATGCACAGCTGCCGGCTCCCACACCATATGGGGCCTGAAGCAGTAGGGCTGCTTCTAGGAGCTGCTACCACTTTTGGGGCTGCTTCTGCACAGGGCTACCAGCTCTCAGCCCATGTGGACTGGAAGCTGACAGCCCCACAGAGGGGCCCGATGGGGCTGGAGCATCCCTCCACCCATAGGGGCTGCTGGTGGGGCCTTCTCCCTTGGTGCTGGTTAACTGTTACCCAGTAAGCATCACCCGTTCATATCCCTAGTATGAATTTGTTGCTGTACTCCAAAGCTGGGAGTGTTGTGAAGGCAGGATGCACCTCTCCCCAAGAGGGAGGAATACCTTGCATTGTTCTCTAGCCCGAAGTGGCACTGACAGATTTTGGAGAGCGTTCCCCCAATTCCTGTATTATAGGATTGGATTTAGAATATGAAGTGAGATGGTGCATTTCATATTCTTTATGGAAATGTTCCCCAACAGGTTTCTGTGTGTTGCCTTTTTGGATACTTTAACTTGCCCAGACACTCATTAATGGATCTCAAAGTCACCATATTGTTTCAGGCCAATTTTGCAAGCCAACTCCACAGGGAAGCCCTAGAACTTAACTTCATATACAAGTTTGATTCCTATAACAGAGGTATGAATAAAGACATTGGCTGGATGGTCCGCTACATTCCACATCCTGATGACATAAAAAACCAAACAATGGGTACTTAGGAACAATTAGTCTCTTCTCTATTAGCTTTATGTAACATGGACAGGCTAAATGACTATTTCTTTTCCCTTCTCTCTCCCTCCCATCCCCTATTTATTTAGAAACTGGACCTTTAATAACTTGATTCATCTGAATAAGTGGATTGTGCCCATGAAAGCTCATGATACCATCTACATGTTTTATTAGTCTCTAAGGTGTTACTCGTTTTTTAAGTTTTTCCAATTACAGACTAACTCGGCTACCCCTCTGATGCTTATTGATGCTTATTCATCTATTGTTAATTCTGATTCTCTCCCACTGTTTGTTCTATGCAGGTATTACTGTGGGTGACATTGGACCAAAATTTGGTTATGATGAAATGGATAATGGCTACTTAAAAATGGACAACTTTCGCATTCCCCGGGAGAACATGCTGATGAAATATGCCAAGGTAAAGGATTGAGTTCTGGAGCCAGTCATTAACAGTTTTTTTGATGGCACATCATTTTCAAAATATTTTAACTCTTCTCTCTCTGGGTTAAATCCAGCCCCATTTCTTACTGATGGGTTTTCTTTGGGATCCTCTGAGCAGGAGGATCTCCCTTTTTTTTCCCCCCCACACTGAAAATCCTATACCTCACAACTTTGCTATCTAAAAGCAAGCTTGCATCCTTTAGGAGCCTGTCAAATTCAACCCTTAATTTGCCAGAGAGGTTGCTATTGAGCTATGTGTGAAAGAAATTATAACATTGTATTTTCTAGGACCTCCAAAGGCTTTCTAGCCATATATTATAAAGCCAGGAGCAAGAAGGGTTTGTTTCTTAATCTTCAGAATTTCCTCCTGCTCTGACTAAATGGATCTTATTACTGACATGTAATTGATGGTTGGTTCCTGTGCAACCCTTTTCATTTGGGGATTTAAATCCCCCCCCCCCCCCTTCATTTCATATTCCATGGCTCCAGTGAGAAAGTTCAATATCTTTCATTTCTGCAGTTGCGCTTAATCCCAAAGCACTCTGAACTATACGCAGTCACTTTGCACAGCAGGAGTAGATGTGGTAGCTGTTTAACAAATATAATACCACCATATGATAAGCGTGGTCAGAAAGCTTGAGGTCGAATACTGCATTCATTAGAAACGATAGCAGGAATTTAGAGACAGAATGTAATTACCCAAATTGGAATATGACCAGCCATAGATGTTTACAACTCTATCCTTGGGAGAAGTGCCGTAGCTGCAGTAAAGTATAATCTTAAATGGCCATTTTAGGACTCATCACAAGGCAACACTTCTAGCAAGCACCCTGTGACTGTAATTAATTACTGACCCAGAGGGAAGATGCCATCCACTGAACTATTACCACTTCCTGTAGTACTCTGGGTTTACGTTTAGAAGTTTGCAAGTACTGCTTAGGAGTACATAACTTCTTTAGGGTCCCTCAGCCATATTAAATGTGACATAACGAGGTCAGAATCCAAGCTGATATCGCTAAAGACCATAGAGTTGTGCCTGCATAAACCTCTGTAGAACTAATTCTGCTCTCCATGATGTGCCTAGAAAAGTGTCAAACCATTTAGAACAGTAGATATGCATATAGTCACTTTTACAAGAACTTCTGTTGGTTTGCCCTTTTCTTGAATCGGAAAGGAATTTCAGATAAATGTCAAAATGGCTCTGCAGCCTTCATCCTTTTGCTTGCAGCTACTTACATTGAGAGCCACTTTGAAAACTCTTCAGCAAGGTAGGGGACATTGGACTTGTAATACTGTGGTTTTTTTTAACTAGAGGCTTGTGAAGTATAGATGCCACTTGGTAGGTGTGCTCTCATACATTCTGCTCTACATCGAGGTGGCAGTTACACTGCTGGAATTTAGAAGGCAGGAAACCTTTTGAGTCAGTATTCTATCTTTCTGCTAGGTTGAACCAGATGGCACATACGTGAAACCACTCAGTGACAAGCTGACTTACGGGACCATGGTATTCATTCGGTCCCTCATTGTGGGAGATTCTGCTCGCTCATTGTGCAGGGCTTGTACCATTGCCATCCGCTATAGTTCAGTGAGGCACCAGTCTGAGCTAACGCCAGGGTAAGTGTGCAGTGAAATGAAGGGCTTGCCTGCAAAATGACAAAAATAAATGGATGTGAGACAAAAGGCAAGCATTTTGGGGGAATGGGAACGGAAGAGGAGGTGGGGAGTCCCAGGGCCTGTTCTGCTTCAGAGACTCCCAGAGATTGAGAGACAGGGCATCCCGAAGCCTTCTCTACCTTGGCAGTCCTCCAGGAAAGTGGAATTGACAAGTTCCGGGCAAGCTGCCAGGGAATTGTCACTTTGATTTTCAACTGAAAAAACTTCAACCAATCATCTCTTCCATTTGCCAGCACTCCTGCTTTTAGACCCTCAAGTATTCTGATCTCTGTTGTACATAGATCCAAGTGCCCACTTGTGGAAGCCTTCCTACCAGAGGACCCACTTATCCCCCTGCATATACTGTGTGACTCCCAGACCTGTGTAATCTTGTATTTTCTCCTTTGTCTTTGCATACATTAGTGAAACCCAACCCTAACATTCCCACTAGACATAATAGCTGAGCTAATGGTCTCCAGTCTCATGGGCAAACAATAGAGGCTTGAGATTTTCAAATCCAGAGATTCTGGATTCATTCTTGCTATTGACTCATCCAGAGGTATCATTATATTTGGATCTATGTACTGCACATTTAAAAATGTGGGAGTTAGTCACTCACTAACAAATCACTTAGTACTTCTCTATGAACACCATGCCTTATTGTGCACCCTAGAGGTATACATTCTAGTGCATGCTAGCATGTGTCACACTTATTGGCCTGTGTAGACTTTGTTGGTTTGCACTAAAAATGGCCTAGTGTATGTTAATGAAATGGGACTATATGAAAACATGCTTGGGCACTTTTAGTGCATGGCAGCAAGGTCCATGAGGGCCAATTAATATTTGACATGCTAGTGTGAATTCTGGATTCAAACGCCATGTAGGCAAGCTCTTACTGCTGTGCAGGATGTCTGCAGAAACTTGGTAGCAGTCACAGTTGTGACTTTCATGTTTTGCTACAGGGAGCCAGAGCCCCAAATCTTGGACTATCAAACGCAGCAATACAAACTCTTTCCTCTCCTGGCAACTGCGTACGCCTTTCACTGTGTTGGAGCCTACATGAAAAAGACCTACCACCGCATCACTGGTGACATCAATCAGGGGAACCTGAGAGAGCTGCCAGAGGTAATTGTCCTGTCTAAAAGCTGGAGGGTGATGCATGTAAAAGCTGCTGTGGCACTTGCGTTAATGGTCCCCAGTTTCTTGGGCAAACAATAGAGGCTTGAGATTTCCAAATCCAGAGATTCTGGATTCAGTTCCTGCTGTTGACTCATCCAGAAGCATCCTTATATTTGGATCTATGTACTGCACATTTAAAAGTGCGGGAGTTAGTCACTCACCCAAATCACCCAGAATGTGGGTGCTGAGCTGAAAATGGAATCCAGGAGTCTTGTCTTCAAGTCCTCTGTTGAAGCCACTGGACCGTGTTTCCAATGAACCAGGACAGAACTGATGTTAATCAAATATGTTGGCAGAACAAAGAACTTTGTGTGAGTGGGGTTGCAAGGTGCAGTAAGTTCCAAACAGAGACCAGTGGATGGCTGAAGGAATAAGGTGAAATAGCAAAATGCAGTGAAAACAATCTTTGTCTTGTAGACTAGACAAAGCATTGGGCTTTACACTGTAAAGAGTGATATAGCATATAGAAATGGGCTGGATGACCTAATAAGTGTGTTCTAGCACTAACTTCTGATATCATTGGGGTCAACAAAAGGTAAAGACTGACTAACACTGATGAGTAGCAGGTAGGTGATGTTGATTGTACAGTATGTTTAGTCTGTTGGCTGCTGCTGCTGAAGCCCACGTTCTTGTGTGCTAATAATGGAAATACAAATGGAATGGCATCTGTGACAAAGCAACAGCCTAATGTAATAGACTTAACAGCTACTACTTCTGCTTTTCCTCCATAGCTGCACGCATTGTCTGCGGGGCTAAAGGCATTCACTTCATGGACCGCCAATGCTGGCATCGAAGAATGTCGAATGGCATGTGGTGGGCATGGCTACTCTCGTTGCAGTGGTCTTCCTGATATCTATGTCACTTTCACCCCATCCTGCACCTACGAGGGAGAAAACACTGTCATGATGTTGCAGACTGCAAGGTGAGGTGACTTCTCTCAAGATCTCCCTACCTAGTTATAAGTTGTCCATGTGCTTGGAGAGATGGTCAGAAGGGCACACAGAACTCTTGTCTACCCTTCCTAACTAGCAATCTTCTTTCTTTTGAATCTATATATTTCTGTCCCCTTCCCTGGCTTCTGCTAAACTGCAAGTGTATGCAAGTCCTGTGTATTGGCTGGTACTACTGGCTATACCCTAAAGTTAATCTGTCTGTTCTGTATCTAAATGAATGGTGCAGTGCAATCTTTTTTTTTTAATTCAGGTTCCTGGTCAAAAGTTACACCCAGGTTAGCTCAGGTCAGCTGGTTAGTGGCATGGTGTCCTACCTTAATGACCTCTCAGGGCAACGTATCCAGCCACAGCAGGTGGCTGCTAGGCCTACAGCGGTGCTCATAAATGATCCAGCAAGCTTGGTGGAGGCATATAAACTGCGAGCATCAAGGTGAGTTCACAGCTGAATGCACAGAACTGTGTATTAATAGAATGCTGTAGAATTTGAATGTTGATGGGAAATGTGATAGAGCTAAGCTGTTCTATTAATGCAGCGCTATACAACCTATGATCTGCAGATTGCATTTATCCAAGTGAAGCATGTTTCAGTCTTCAAGAAATGATGCTTTCTGCTAAGTGTACCCAACCTCAGATACTTAAGAGTTTCAACAAAAAATTGACCATCTAAATTTTCCATAACCTAAGCTTTTCAGCTCTCTGCAGATGATTATGGGGCTTTGATGTAAATTCAGACTTGCAGACACCAACATTAAAACTGCAGTTATTTTCCTGAAGAGGTTAAAATAGTGATCACTGCAGACCATGTTGCAAGTAGAGTCAATCCTAATATAAAGCCCTATATCTGTGGAATGGAAAAAGCAGCACAGGCACTAAATGAGGACATAAAGCTGCTTGAATATTTGTTTCATTAGCATGAGGCTTATTTTAATCCTGTTTCCTTAAAGCTGTGTTCGTATTACTCTTCTGTAGACATGCAATCCTAGTTGCACTAGTGAACATGCAGGTTCTTGAATAGCAAATGCTGGAATGAGAGGAGAGGACACCTCCCTCCCCCAGTCTGGAATGCCACTTGTTGTATTGGGGTTTTCACTAAGCCGCTCCTGTTTTACCAGCCTGGATTCCCCCTCTGCTTTGTTGAATGTGGCTTTTTGGCCTCTTGTAGCACACATACAAGTAGGACCACACGTGCAGATACAGACTGAAGTCATCTCTGTGCAAGAGGGCTCACCCACCACTCATGTTCATGCCCCTTTTGGGGAACAGTTCTGAAATAATACTGTCTTGCACTGTATAGAAAGATCTGCATAATATGAGCTCATAAAAATTCACCCTCTCCTTCAACATAGAAAAAGGTATGCACGGCATCTTGCCCCTCCAGTTTTTTGAATTGCACAAACTGGGTTATATCATAAACAAGTATCAGAAGGGTATGCTCCAACACTTCGGTTAGTCTATAAGGTGCCACAGGACTCCTCACCGCTTTTATTATAAACAAGATATCATTTGATTTAACTACTAGAAGATTTACCTGGCGTTGCTGGGGTCCTTGACTCAAATAAGTTTTGTTTTTCTTCATTTCAATCATTGTTCTAGGGTGGGGTTGGAGATGCTGGCTGCCCCAGAGAGAGCACAACCTCAGCTCTCTCTTACCACAGTAGTTTGGGGCCAGGTGAAAAGCATCTGTGGGCACAGCTGGGACACACACTCTCTGTCTCTCTCTCTCTACAATATATAGTAGATCAGTGGTCCCCAGCGAGGTGCCTGCGGGTGCCATGGCGCCCACCGGGCCATTTATATGCGCCCATGGAGCAATCTGGGCTGGCCCCGTCCCTGGGCGTGCGGCAGGTGCCAGCCCCGGGCACATGGGCGGCCCCTGCCCCGGGGTCGCGGCGCATGTTGGTGCCGGCCCTGGCCCCGGGTGCACGGCACATGCTGGTGCCAGCCCCAGGGCGCACAGCGCCTGGGCCGCCCCTGCCTAGGGTCACTGCACATGCCAGTGCTGGCCTCGGGTGTGCGGCGCATGCTTGGCTCCGCCCCTAAGCACGTGGCCCGTGAGCGGCCCTGCCCGCGTATGCACGGTGTGTGAGCGGCCCCGCCCCCAGGCACCCGGCAGCCCCAAAACGTTGGGGACCACTGTAGTAGATAGCTGTCCCTTTCTCCACCTCTGCTGTCCCAGTCCTCATCTCTGGCACCTTGCTGTCCTTTTTGGTCATTCTACAGCAGGGGTGGGGAACCAAGATTCAGACACGGTCCCCAGCTTCCCTGGATCCAGCCCCTGAGGCTCCACATTGGGGAGCCCACACTGGTGTTCCAGCCCCTCTGCTACGCACCCACAGGACTGGAGCATACAAAATCTACTAGCCTGGATACCCTTAGGCTCTGGTGTGCAAGGGGAATGTGAGGAGTGCCTTTTTTCCTTCTCAGTCAGGGGCTTCTCGCTTTGCTTTTCACTTGTGTAATGCCCCCAGCTGATTCTTCTGTGTGTCAGCAGCCCCTAACCCAAAAAAGGTTCCCCACTCCTGTTCTACAACATAACTGTCCCCCCATCAGACCCCTTTCTCTCCATTTTGAGAAACAATCTAATTCCAAGCACATACAAACCTTTATCTTGCTTTGAATTATGATAAGAGGAAGCAAATTTAGTGATCCTAACTCAGGGCTGGGCAAAATCCAACCTGCCAAACCACCAGATCCAGCCCACGAATGCAGCAGGGAGCCTTGGGCAGATGCCCTACTTGCCTTGCGACTTCCTCCCCACACCACTCAAAAAAGTAGTTGCCACATCCGTTTCTCTTTCTCAGCTGTAAGCCCAGGAAGGGGAGGAGTGGTGCTTCACAGGCGGCTCCTGCTCCCTGCACAATCCCATTGGTCAATTCCTGGCCAATGGGAGCAGTCTGTTTGAAGAACAGGCAACATAGGATTTCATTTTAAATCCCCCCCCCCCCCCTTCATTTCATATTCCATGGCTCCAGTGAGAAAGTTCAATATCTTTCATTTCTGCAGTTGCGCTTAATCCCAAAGCACTCTGAACTATACGCAGTCACTTTGCACAGCAGGAGTAGATGTGGTAGCTGTTTAACAAATATAATACCACCATATGATAAGCGTGGTCAGAAAGCTTGAGGTCGAATACTGCATTCATTAGAAACGATAGCAGGAATTTAGAGACAGAATGTAATTACCCAAATTGGAATATGACCAGCCATAGATGTTTACAACTCTATCCTTGGGAGAAGTGCCGTAGCTGCAGTAAAGTATAATCTTAAATGGCCATTTTAGGACTCATCACAAGGCAACACTTCTAGCAAGCACCCTGTGACTGTAATTAATTACTGACCCAGAGGGAAGATGCCATCCACTGAACTATTACCACTTCCTGTAGTACTCTGGGTTTACGTTTAGAAGTTTGCAAGTACTGCTTAGGAGTACATAACTTCTTTAGGGTCCCTCAGCCATATTAAATGTGACATAACGAGGTCAGAATCCAAGCTGATATCGCTAAAGACCATAGAGTTGTGCCTGCATAAACCTCTGTAGAACTAATTCTGCTCTCCATGATGTGCCTAGAAAAGTGTCAAACCATTTAGAACAGTAGATATGCATATAGTCACTTTTACAAGAACTTCTGTTGGTTTGCCCTTTTCTTGAATCGGAAAGGAATTTCAGATAAATGTCAAAATGGCTCTGCAGCCTTCATCCTTTTGCTTGCAGCTACTTACATTGAGAGCCACTTTGAAAACTCTTCAGCAAGGTAGGGGACATTGGACTTGTAATACTGTGGTTTTTTTTAACTAGAGGCTTGTGAAGTATAGATGCCACTTGGTAGGTGTGCTCTCATACATTCTGCTCTACATCGAGGTGGCAGTTACACTGCTGGAATTTAGAAGGCAGGAAACCTTTTGAGTCAGTATTCTATCTTTCTGCTAGGTTGAACCAGATGGCACATACGTGAAACCACTCAGTGACAAGCTGACTTACGGGACCATGGTATTCATTCGGTCCCTCATTGTGGGAGATTCTGCTCGCTCATTGTGCAGGGCTTGTACCATTGCCATCCGCTATAGTTCAGTGAGGCACCAGTCTGAGCTAACGCCAGGGTAAGTGTGCAGTGAAATGAAGGGCTTGCCTGCAAAATGACAAAAATAAATGGATGTGAGACAAAAGGCAAGCATTTTGGGGGAATGGGAACGGAAGAGGAGGTGGGGAGTCCCAGGGCCTGTTCTGCTTCAGAGACTCCCAGAGATTGAGAGACAGGGCATCCCGAAGCCTTCTCTACCTTGGCAGTCCTCCAGGAAAGTGGAATTGACAAGTTCCGGGCAAGCTGCCAGGGAATTGTCACTTTGATTTTCAACTGAAAAAACTTCAACCAATCATCTCTTCCATTTGCCAGCACTCCTGCTTTTAGACCCTCAAGTATTCTGATCTCTGTTGTACATAGATCCAAGTGCCCACTTGTGGAAGCCTTCCTACCAGAGGACCCACTTATCCCCCTGCATATACTGTGTGACTCCCAGACCTGTGTAATCTTGTATTTTCTCCTTTGTCTTTGCATACATTAGTGAAACCCAACCCTAACATTCCCACTAGACATAATAGCTGAGCTAATGGTCTCCAGTCTCATGGGCAAACAATAGAGGCTTGAGATTTCCAAATCCAGAGATTCTGGATTCAGTTCCTGCTGTTGACTCATCCAGAAGCATCCTTATATTTGGATCTATGTACTGCACATTTAAAAGTGCGGGAGTTAGTCACTCACCCAAATCACCCAGAATGTGGGTGCTGAGCTGAAAATGGAATCCAGGAGTCTTGTCTTCAAGTCCTCTGTTGAAGCCACTGGACCGTGTTTCCAATGAACCAGGACAGAACTGATGTTAATCAAATATGTTGGCAGAACAAAGAACTTTGTGTGAGTGGGGTTGCAAGGTGCAGTAAGTTCCAAACAGAGACCAGTGGATGGCTGAAGGAATAAGGTGAAATAGCAAAATGCAGTGAAAACAATCTTTGTCTTGTAGACTAGACAAAGCATTGGGCTTTACACTGTAAAGAGTGATATAGCATATAGAAATGGGCTGGATGACCTAATAAGTGTGTTCTAGCACTAACTTCTGATATCATTGGGGTCAACAAAAGGTAAAGACTGACTAACACTGATGAGTAGCAGGTAGGTGATGTTGATTGTACAGTATGTTTAGTCTGTTGGCTGCTGCTGCTGAAGCCCACGTTCTTGTGTGCTAATAATGGAAATACAAATGGAATGGCATCTGTGACAAAGCAACAGCCTAATGTAATAGACTTAACAGCTACTACTTCTGCTTTTCCTCCATAGCTGCACGCATTGTCTGCGGGGCTAAAGGCATTCACTTCATGGACCGCCAATGCTGGCATCGAAGAATGTCGAATGGCATGTGGTGGGCATGGCTACTCTCGTTG